CGATGATCCGAGCTACGGGGGCGCGTGTGATTCATGCGCTGTCCTTGAAGCGTGAATCAATCGAAGACTCGAGAAGATGGCTAGCTGCTCTTCCCACTCCTATTGATCCAACCTGTTTGCTGATCTGAAATCACAGCCTTGCTCCGACTTCAATATCTCCATGCCTATTTACTTTATGAACAATTCCTTCTGGAAGATTGTAGATTTATGAGTCTTGAAGCTGCTGTCAAAATTTCACGTCCATCCGATCACTGGTTGATTTATGGCGAATTGTCTCTCTGGACAGCGCAGAAAATCTGAGAGCAGTTTTTCAGAATTGCCTTCTCGCATCTTCGATTCTACTAAACACGTGGCACTAGACACGTAATAGTTAGAAATAACGGAAGAAAAGAAAGAGGGAAAAGAGTACCGAAAGGGATCGGCCAATGGATGGCCGATTCCGGTGACTTTCCGGCGACGGCGGCGCGGTGGCCGAGGAGAGAGGGCCGAGTGAGAGAGAGTGTGAGCGGCTAGGGTTAGGGTTTTTGTGTTGTGTGTGTGTAAGACCTATAAATCTTGTATTTATAGTGTCTTGCATAAAACCCTAGCGGGCTTAAGTTGGACCGGGCCTAACAACTTAAGTTCGTTAGTACTTTTACTTCCTCGTCTCTCTCAATTCAATGATCGGAAAATTGTAACGATTACATTTTCGGAATCATTATAATGTCCTCGTCATTACGAGTGCCAACTCTCGATTTCCATCTTTCCAAAAGTGGAAACCCTAATTCAGTGCACTTTCTAAATTTGGAAACTTCCCGATTTAGAAAGTTCACTAATACGTTTGCCTATTCTTTTGCTTTTCTTATTCTCATTCATAATTCCAAATTACGAATGTTGGACCCAATCATATTGACTTCCAACCATGCAAAGATAAACTATTTTATCTCTGACCGTTTATTCAAAGATCTCATGTGCACGAGCAGTGTGACCCTCGATGGTTCAGGTGTAAGCTAGCCGTGGGCCCACAACCCTTTGTGGTCAAAACTCGTCCCTTATAGTTACGATTAAGATGAAGCTCATTTCACCTTAATCACCCAACGAATCAAGATTGGCACCTAGCATCTACGCGTCATGATTCCGTAGATACAAATGAAGTGCCTGATTGAACTAGAGGCATTGGTTCGTCGAGACCCCTTTATATGTTCACATTCGATTGAAAACTAGAGTCGGTAAAGCCCTCTAATTTGAACTCGGCACCCTCATAGACCAACAATATATCCTTAGTCCTTCGCAAGTACTTGAGGATATCGTTCACGGCTTTCCAGTGAGCCGGGCCGGGGTTAGACTGATATCTGCTTGTGACACTCACAACATACGCAATATCGGGTCTCGTACATAGCATGCCATACATAATGCTTCCTATGGCAGAATCATAAGGCGTCCTTTTCATCTCCTCGATTTCACTAGGTGTTTGCGGACACATAGATTTCGAGATACAAACCCCATGGGACGTTGGCAAGAATCCTTTCTTCGAATCTTCCATGCTAAACCGTTTCATAACGGTGTCTATGCAGGCTTTGGGATAAGCCAAGCATCTTTCTTGCTCTATCTCTATAGATGCGTATTCCTAATACATAAGATGCTTCTCCCAAATCCTTCATTGAGAAACGTGTGGACAACCATGCTTTCGTTTGTTGCAGCATTCCTACGTCATTCCCAATGAGTAGAATGTCATCAACGTAAAGCACTAAAAATATCACTGCCCTCCCACTAACCTTCTTGTATACACAAGGTTCCTCCGGATTCTTCTCAAAATCAAACTCTTTGATTGTTGAGGCGAACCTAATGTTCCAACTACGGGATGCTTGTTTCAATCCATAAATGGATCGCGGAGCTTGCAAACCTTTTGTTCTTGAACTACTTCAAGTTCTATCATGCTGCCTTTTCTATCCGATAGAAACTACCTTTTCCAAAAAGGTGGCATTTCTTGAAACAAACGTCTTTGCTTCCTTGACATAATAGAACTCGTATCCCATCGAGTCTTCGGGATACCCCACAAAATAGCACAACTCGGATTTACTATCCAACTTGTCTCCCACTAATCGCTTCACATAAGCGGGACAACCCCATATCCTAATATGTTTATAGTTGGGTTTCCAGGAATGCCAAAGTTCATAAGGTGTGGATTTAACTGCTTTGGTGTTAACTCTATTCAGCAAATACGCGGCAGTACGAAGTGCGTGAACCCACAAGTATGCCGGTAAGTTCGTGAACCCCATCATTGATCGAACCATATCCAATAAAGTTCGATTCCGACGTTCGGAGACTCTATTAAGTTGAGGAGTTCCAGGTGGAGTCCATTGAGCTAGATTGTATTCCATTCTCTTTTAGATAGTCAATGAACTCGATGCTCAAGTACTCTCCACCACGATCGGATCGCAGCTTCTTAATACTTCGTCCGAGTTGCTTCTCTACTTCGTGGCTAAAATCTTTGAACCTTTCAAATGTTTCGGACTTGTACTTCATCAAGTACACATACCCGTACCTAGAATAATCGTCGGTAAAGGTGGCGAAGTAGTTGTATCCACCCTTCGCACTAACACTTAGTGGACCACATACGTCTGTATGGATCAAATCAAAAAGACCCCGGCTCGTTCCATTTTCCCTTTGTAGGGTGACTTGGTCATTTTCCCTTTAAGGCAAGATTCACAAGTTTGTAGTGATTTCACGTCCTCCAAAGAGAACAATCCTTCACTAACAAAATCGTTCATCCTTCTTAAAAAGACATGACCTAATCTAGCGTGCCAAAGTTGTGCGGGGGTTTTGATCTATCTTCTTACGTTTTGCTGATATAACATTGATAGGTATTTCATTTGGATTTAGTTCATACAAGTTGTTTAATAGTCGTCCTTTGCAAATCAAATTCTCATTCTTTTGTATAATCACTACAAGGAAAGTGTCTTTTAACAACATTCCGTGTACGTTGTTAAAATACATTGACAACGCACATACGCACGTTGTTAACGGACATGTTGTTAAATGATCGGGAACTGTAACAACGTTCAACGCACGTGGTAAGCGCAACGTTGTTTGTGATATAACAAGATGCAGTGCATGTTGTGTTATAGTTTTCACAACATTTATACGCGTCTTGTAGATAGTCTTACAACAACACACTGTTGCATCTTGTCTTCGGTTTTAACAACATTCAAGAGCACCTTGTGGTTTACTAACTATGAGACAAAAAAAAATTATTGAACAAAATACAGAAATTAGATTTTCAATTATTCTCAATGCTTTCCAATTTCCAATAAACCAAAATCCTGGCGATATACAAATATTATTAACCAATACTGTAATTGCATGCCGTTTAACCAACAAACAAAACCAATTCATTTATTGTCAAACTAATCTAAAGTCTCTTGCGCCCGAGAATGCTCATACTTTCCTCGTCTCTTAATTGATCAATGGATGTCAAATGCTCCAATACGAGTTCCTCCACAATATACTGAAAATAGCAAACCTGTTATTATTCAGGAGCCAAAAAAGGAAATAAAATTAGAAAATAAACGGCTTCAATTATTCACAACATGATTTAACTTACATTCTATACAACTCAAAAGTCATCTACTCTTCATTTTCCTTGACAAAGTTGGTTTTCCTTCAGAAATTGGTGCTTGATCATTTTCAATATATGAAAAGAAGTATGGCAACATAAAGAATTTCAAATAGACATTAAAGTATAAATATAGCAAAAACTCAAAACTGTTGGAGAGTTATGGAGAGTTAAGAAACGAATAACTCAAAGATGGTACCTTAAACATATATTTTTGTAATGGTGGTTGCAGTTGATGTATGTAGTTAGCAAGACTGATATATATTTTTTTCGCATATTTCCCTCCATTGTTGATCATATTTCACTCATCTGTCTGTCATAGTTAACTATGTCAAAAATAATGCAAAAACACGACAGTAAACAAGACACATAAATCCCTCTACATAGTACATATCATAATAAACTCTTGTACATTCAAATCCCCAAAACAAACATAAGTGTGAGTTGTTATAAAAATGAAAAAATAATAAAGATGATATACATTGATAGAAAGTAGAAACGACATATACATAATCTATTATGGCAAATTCTCAATAATTTCATGATATGCATGCAGATTATACTCGGTATGAGTGACACATATGAGTATGTCATTATGAAAAGAATTTAATCTTACCACCTGTATTCACCGTGATATATTAATTTACGAAAAAATAAAATATTAGGGCTGCTTTTTTAATGGGATAAAAGAGAAATGAGTACCTGATTGAATAGTATTTTTCTGGTGAAAAATGTTTCCAATCCCTGTATATTGATAGTTAAGAAAAGCCAGTTAATAAATAACCAAACTATATTCACTTTAAAGAAAATCATAAACAATTTAATTTATTACCTGAAAAGTTTTAGTTTCTTATATGAAAGAATTTGAAATCCGAACATGGTAGAAAATATAAATAACATCTAACACACAAACAAACTTTGAAAAGGCCAATAGAGTCGGACACTTTTGGCACAAATGAGGATATTTTTTCTTCCATTTGAGATTGATAATTGGAAAGAAAAACTAAAACAAACCTCGTCGACGTTGTTTAGTGCCTGTATGCGAATACATCATCATATTTTTCGTTCGCTTAGTCCTGCGTAAACCAAAATTATAGAATAAGAACATAATTCAAATGAATGATAGCAATCATAAATAAGAGAATCAAGTAAATGAAGCCAACCTCAAGCAGTGGTATGACTCTCCTAGAAAAATCAGATAATTGCTCACCTTCAAGGGTTTTCTGTTTATTTATCTGCATTAACAAAATTCATAACACTAAAATGAAAGAAAACGTAGTGGTAGACATAGTATACTTGAGAATGAAATAAATAATTACCCAAGCGAAGAAGGAAAGGTAAAAGAATAGAATCCTGAACCTCAAAACCCTTCACATTACAATGTACCATCAATTTCATCATAGTCTGTCATAATAAAAAGATAAAATAAAGTAAATATGTCAAGTGGTAGCCTCACATGATCATGTAAGAAACATGGAAGACAGTATTCTTTGAAATAAATAATAACATGTTGCTTTTAAATACTCGTGTAGCTACAAGTACAATCACTTGGAATTAAAAAAAAGGTAGATTAAATGCCCTACTACACAAACCCTACGCAAGAAATCCAATGTCCCAAATAGTCTCAATCACACAATTAATAACATAATACCTCATTCTTTAAACACAATCCAAGTCTGAAGTTACTCAATCTCCTGAAAAGTTAAAATAACACACATTAGACAAAAGCTACAAGAGAATTACTCTTCATTTTTTGGAGTATAAAAATTCATTTGCATAGTTTACCACACTGAGAAGCAAGACAGATACACAAAATCTACATATATGCAAATTGATTAATTTCTTTTATAAATTTAAATTCCTAAATTTAAAAACTCAAACTTGAAAACCATCCAACGAACCAAATGAAAAGGAGCAAATTAAATAGTGTAACAATAAGTTAGGCAACTATTTAGATTTTTTAATGGACCCTAACACTTCTGTCAACTCCTTAGGCATAGAAAAAGTAAAACATTGTGCACATAAGTATTACACTATTGACTTTGCTTCCTTTTCATAGTCTACAAAAAGAAGCAGTAACTTATTCCTAAAGAAAATTGACAAGTAGTCACTGGTAATCGAAAATTATTGAATCAAAGAATTTTCAAATTCCTAAATTAGTTTCAATCGGTAAAATCAATTGATTCTTCAGTCCAATTTCGCAAAAGTACCACTTCCAGCAATAACTCAAAATTTAAGAGATGCCAAGAGGAAAAAAAAAAAAAAACTACCCGACTTGTAGAGAGACTGATTGAGATCGCGGTGGTAGCGGCGATGGCTGGTCCTTGATATGATTTAAATTCAGTGACAAATAGAGATAAGGGTACTGGTGGTGGTGAGGTTGGCGCGGTGGTGCCGACCGAGGTTGACGCGGTGGTGCTGGCCGGGGTTGGCGCGGTGGTGGCTGCGAGAGGAAGAATCGTTCGGAAAGGGAAAAGATGGAGAGACGTGGTTGAGAGAGAATAAAACATCTGATGAGGAAAAAATAAAAAAGAAGTTCGAAGGAATAAAAAATAAATAAACTCATGAAGAAAGGGAAAAGAAATCTTATCATATCGCGTATTTTTTTAAATTTCAAGACACATAGGTAAATTGTTATATTTAATATTATTTTACAAATTTAAATTACGATATTCGACAACAGAATTATGAATCTTGTTATATTAAATTTAAATTACAAGACACCAATGATTGTTGTTATATTTAATATATTCAACAAGGCGCGCATGTATGTTGTAGTACAATATTTTAACAACAGAAAAACTACCCGGGTTGTAAAATACATATATTTAAGATTAACAACAACATGCATTAAAAGCATGTTGTAAAATATGTAATATCACAAAATACTTTACCAGCACGTTGTTGAATCCAAGTTGTTAAAAATCACTTTTCTTGTAGTGAATGCAAATCGAATTTCCGAAAACAAAAGTAAAACCTTCAATATCTAATACATGAATAGAAATAAGGTTTCTAATGAGGGACGGAACAAATAAACAATCGTTCAAAACAATAGGAAAACTAGAGTCCAAAACATTTAAGTAAATTGTGCCAATGGCTTCAGCAGCAACTCTTGCTCCATTCCTTATCCTTAGGTAGGTCTCACCCGCTCTAAGCTTTCGACTTCTTGTCATTAGCTGCAAATCATTGCACAAATGTGAGCCACAGCCCGTATCCAATACCCAAGAAGAAGAGTTGACAGACAAATTTACTTCAATGAAATACGTACCCTTTTCAGAACTTTTCTGCTTTAGGTAAGCCTTGTAGTTGCGGCGCCAATGTCCTTTCTTTCCACAGAGATGGCAAGCATCATCAACTTGCTTGCCAACCTTTGCCTTGGGACCCCCACTACCTTCACCCACTTCGAACTTGCTGTTTGGGAAGGGAACTCTTTCCTTTCTCTTCTTTTGGGAAGAACTCTTCTTTCCAGAAGTAGCAGGAATGAGAACAGACTTCTCTTTCTTAATGGTGGACTCGAAACTGACCAACATGTTCATCAACTCATCCAAGGGAGGATCTAGTTTGTTCATGTTGAAGTTCACTATGAACGATTCATAGGAACGAGGAAGAGACAACAGGATCAAATCCAACGAGAGCTCGGCCGGGAGGGTGACATCGAGATTCACTAGCTTTTCAAGGAGAGTGATCATTTTGAGACAGTGCTCGTGGACCGAAGTCCCTTTGCGTAGTCTCGCCGTGATCAACTCCTTTGTAGAAGCGTACCTCGATGCCCTAATATTCTCACTATACATGCTATCGAGATGAGCCTTTATATCGAAAGCATGCATGTGAGACTCATATTTCCTCGCAAGCGCGGGCTCCATGGCGGCTATCATATAGCACCTAGCATGTGTATCATCTTTCTTCCATGCCTCATAAGTTTCCTTTTCAGCATCAGTCGCTGTGGCAAGTATAGTGGCGGGAAGTCTCTCGTTCAAAACATAGAGACGACCCTCAACGGTTAGCACAAGCTTAAGACTACGCAACCAATCTAGGTAATTAGGGCCACTGAGTTTATTGTCGAGGATTGACATTATGGGATTCTTAGACATGATTATCTGAGAGGTATATAGAAGAGGATTATTAGAGATTCGCGTTAAATGATTGTTACAATTAAATGTTTGGACTTATGTTATTTAATTGTTCTCCCACTAATTTTATCGAGTTCCACTTCCCTCTAGTAGACAAACGAGAAAACTGATTTTTCTTAATGGGCTTTAGGTCCAATAGACAAATATAACCCGTAGTTAATGTAGCCCGATTATATTTGCCCAAAGGTAGATCACAATCAATCATATCCACAATATGACCGTAAATTAATTTTCCTCACACTTGATAATGACCTAAGTTAATCTCGCGAATATCAAAATCGTCGTGTGTCAAGTCTAACCTACCAATCAAAGATGCTCATAGAACTTGATTATGCCAAACTAATGCAGTCCCTAGTTAATCTAGCCGACCACGTTAATCCAACATAACCCTTTTCTATGGCTACCTTCATCACTATGTCAATTGAATTACAGCTTACTCTACCATAGCACTCCCCGCTAACACGGCTTACTGCACTACAGTAAAGGACTACACATAATCCAACCGTTGGCAGAAGGAAAGAAATAACTCAACATATTGGGTTTTTCTTTATAGCTTGAAATGATTCTTAATTTGATTAAGAATGAGGGGTTTTATTAAAAGTTTTATCTCATGAGAAGGTTCGGATTGGTCTATGTGATTCCTACATCTATGTTCTCTAAAGGTATATGGAAACGCTTATTGTCCTAAGAGGAACATACGACCTAACTACATAATTAATTACAATAATTAATTATCGGGTTTTTCAAAATAATTATAGAACCTCAACTCGCATAAATCATTCAAATAATGTCGAGGTACTATTAATTAAGTTGAACTATAATCAATATTATATTTGTGTTCTATTAATTGAAATCAATTTAACAATTTAAATTAATTAATTAATCTAACACCTATTTACTAAAATAGATGATTGTCGATCCAATTATCTAATTGGGATTAATTGAAAATAATTTTTCAAAAATTAAAATCAATTTGTTTTAAGTTTAATTTTAGAAATCTGAAATAAATTTTTTTTTTTTCTTTTTTTCAGTGAACCGGTTCGGCCCAACCGGTCTGACCGGTTCGGACCAAAGCGGTACGAATCTGCCCGGTCCAGTTGACCCAAATCAGTGGGCCGGGTCAGTCGGATCGAGAACCGGTCTGACCGACCCGAATCCACGTGGATTCGGTCAATTAGATCGCAGACAACCATCGAACCGGCCGGTTCGACCGGTTCGATCCGAACAATTTAAAAACCGACGTTTAAAAATAATTTCAGATCCGATTTTCCAATTTTAAACAATTTTAAAGCTGGAAAAATTCTAAACAATATTTCAAAAATATTTTAAACTTACGAAAACTCCCAATTACATAATACAACAATCACTACTTTAATAAATCGAACATGCATAAAATCATAGCATATTAAAACGAACGCAATTAATTGCGCAACGAGCTCTGATACCACTGTTGGGAATCAGGCACGTGTACGCAGCGGAAAACAAAAATTTTATGCGATTTAAACAATTTAAAACACATAAACACATGCCCGACAATATTGAAAACAATTAATTGCGTACCTTTGCGCTTCCAGCGAAAATAAAAACAAGATACATGCTTAATTATTTAAACAAATTTAAATAAATTAACATGCTCGCGTTTAAATCAAATAACATGCTCGAACATACAAATCAATTTCATGTAGTCACATAAAATCATACAAGAACGAACATACATATTGGATTTAAACGTAAACGAATCAAGAACAATGAATTCGTGAGTTTACCTCTTGAAGCGTAAGGTAGGAGCACTAAGCAAGACGAGATTGCTACGGAAACCAATCCGTACAATCCGGGGCAGCAGCGGCGAGACGGGCCACGGCGGCGCGTGTAACTCGCGCGCGGTCTTCGGGCGGCGCGTGGGGTTGCGTGCGGCTTCGGCTCGTGTGCTGCTCCTCGATTCTTCGATCTTCGATCTTCCTCCTCTCGGATTTCACCTCGTATACTTCGATCTACTAAACACGTGGCACTAGACACGTAATAGTTAGAAAAACGGAAGAAAAAGAGAAGGAAAGAACTACCAATGGTGACCCGCCAAGAGATGGCCGATTCCGGCAGGGTTCCGGCGACGGCGCCGGTGGTGGCCGCGGGAGAGTGGCCGAGAGAGAGAGGGGGAGCGGCTAGGGTTAGGTTTTTTTTTTGTGTGTGTGTAAGACCTATAAATCTTGTATTTATAGTGTCTTGCATAAAACCCTAGCGGGCTTAAGTTGGACCGGGCCCAACAACTTAAGTTCGTTAGTACTTTTACTTCCTCGTCTCTCTCAATTCAATGATCGGAAAATTGTAACGATTACATTTTCGGAATCATTATAATGTCCTCGTCATTACGAGTGCCAACTCTCGATTTCCATCTTTCCAAAAGTGGAAACCCTAATTCAGTGCACTTTCTAAATTTGGAAACTTCCCGATTTAGAAAGTTCACTAATACGTTTGCCTATTCTTTTGCTTTTCTTATTCTCATTCATAATTCCAAATTACGAATGTTGGCTTCCAATCATGCAAAGATAAACTATATTATCTCTGACTGTTTATTCAAAGATCTCATGTGCACGAGCAGTGTGACCCTCGATGGTTCAGGTGTAAGCTAGCCGTGGGCCCACAACCCTTTGTGGTCAAAACTCGTCCCCTAGAGTTACGATTAAGATGAAGCTTGTTGCACCTTAATCACCCAACGAATCAAGATTGGCGTCTAGCAACTACGCGTCATGATTCCCTAGATACAAATGAAGTGCCTGCAAGAACCTTCAGATATAATTAACGTACAGTACGGTCCCTTCGATACATATGTCCTGATTGAACTAGAGGCATTGGTTCGTCGAGACCCCTTTATATGTTCAATGACGGTGCGATCGTTCTAAGTGTTGTAATCGTTACGTGCATGACCTAGAGACTTAATCAGCTCTGGCCAGAGACTTAGAATGATTACAAACTTTCAGAACACACAGGACATCCAAGACTATTCTAGCGATCGAATCCCCGACTACAATGCACAGACCTCCCACTAGATTTCGGACTGCACGAACACTGGCCCTTGGGATGGTCCTCGGTGGAACTCAGGGACAGGTCACGATACAGCTGGTCCTCTAGTGAAGTCACGGTGATGTCTAGGTCATTAGGACTAATGGTGTACAACTATACCATAGATATCTCTACTCGATTATTGGGAACCACTTAGAGATTTCTAGGGTGAGGGAGTTCAGTGAACTCGTCAACTTACGAGCACCCACTTATGCATGCCGATATCACAATACCGTTTACTGATGAGATGCAGTACACACACACTCAGTGCTAGTCTCCTAATGGGAAGGGCCGATATCCTCATTGGTGGCGTAACCCTTCGACTAGAAACACGTTTAACAGGTATAATACTAAAGTAAATATCTCACGATCCTAACGATCATTTACTCGTACTT